TTTTAGAAAAAATAACCTAAAAAAATATTACCAAACACATATACATTTAAAAATATTGTGCAACTACACGAAGAAAACTTTCAACCACAATCCCCAAACGCACCCTAAGACTAATGATTAGTGATTTTCTCTAAACCACTACTTAATAATAGTGTTTGGTAAAGTTCTTTTTTTATTTTTTTATAAACCACTATATATTTAGTATTTTGTAAAAATTTTTACTTAGTGATTTGATGATAGCATTTAGTGGTTAGAGTTAAATCTACTAATGGATAGAAAAAGCAATTTTGAATAACTTTTATCCTAAACTGCTAGCAGATTGAAATTTTTAATTTTTAATAACAAGTTTACCTATAATAATTAGGTATAAATAATATCCTCTTACGGAACCACATAAACTTCTTTACTCCTTTTGTTTTACTGCCGACTTCCTTGCTTCTAATGATTCAAAAAACCCAAGGCAACTCCATAAATTTGCAATTAAGTAGTTGTGTTTTTAGAAATATCGCTGCATGTACATGACAAAAAGAAGTTGCTACATATATTTATTAAGTTGCATTTTTTTCCCTCAAATCTCAAATATTAGTATTTGGATCATAAATGATTTCTCAATATTTAAGAAAAATTTATTAGGCCATAATTACAAATTAATTATTAATAAACAGTGTAATTTTTTAAAATTTTTTGAAAATAAAAAATATCTTTTAAAAAATATTAAAGGGATGTTTCATTTGTAATTGAATTATTTTAACAAAACAATTACTTTTGTGATAGGAAATTTAAAAGAAAATAAAAACAAAATTAACTTATTGTTTAATTTGTCCTTATCAGTCATTTAACATCAAATATAATCCACTAACTATTATATAACTAAACAACTATAAAAATCTACATTTATTATTTATTATTTGTTACCTATCATTTACTATCTGTTATCCGTTATCCACTACTAGAAAATTGATCATTTTGGTCAAGAAAATTTCTTGACCAAAAAAACACATAATTCAGAAAAAACACATAATTCGAAAAAATCTACTAACCAAATATAATGTTGTTGGCTCAATACACTCCAAGAAGGGGATGAATTGGAGTTGAAAAAATTTTCACCTCTTTGCAACCACCAAACAAAGATCAAAGAAAGAGTAGAGAAAAAGAGCTTGCATAATGATTTTATAGAAGTTCGATCCAACCACTTGAAATCTAGTACTCTACTTTGATTTCACTTACCAAGGATTTCCTCCACACTTTTCACAAACAAAAACAAGGGTGGCTTAAAGGAGCCACTTAAATCTCACCAATTTACAAGATAAACCCAAACAATCCTTGCTACAAATCTGTCACGTCCCAGAACCCAAATCCGGGAACGTGGCAGACGCCGTGCACTTATGAGAGGGTCCCACAAATGCACAAGGCTCCGAACTTACTAAGTTCTTAATTTTTGAATTGGATAATTCGAATCTAAAAACTCAGGTAAAATCTAACTTTCCATTACCAAAAATTGTACTAGTCAAGATGTACAACAATTTATAAACAGTTATGGCTATAACCAAGGAAACTCTGTACACAAAAATGGTTATTTGGGTCAACCCTGTGAGACTAGCGGCCTAACTCCAAAAGATCTAAATCCAAAATAATGCCTAGCCGTCTAGCTCGTTACTCCCCCGACTCCCCATGTGTCGGGTATCACTACCTGAAATGGTGGACAAGGAAAAACTAGGTGAGATAAAATATCTCAGTAAGTAAAATATGGATAGCCTTTGATAAAAAATTTAAGCATGTCAGATAAACCATGTAAGTATAACAGAACTTTCAATGATAAACCATTCATGCATAATAAAACTCATCCGTAGTCTCATCTATAAGTCATGGCCAGTGTTTAACAAACTCCTACTTGCAGGCGTCAGTAATAGTACCGATGTTTAACAAACTCCCACTGGCAGGCGTCAGTAATGGTACCAGTGTTTAACAACTCTCACTGACAGGCGTCAGTAATAACCAATGTTTAACCCCATTGGCAAGATGAACCAGTTCTACAGAAATATATGTCGACATGTGCTAGCATTTATAAACTCCCATTAGCGGGCGTCAGTAATCATGATTATATCAGAGACAAAACCATGCAAAATCTATAGAAAATCCATAATTCACCATTAATCTCAATTTCAAGAATAAACCGAAAAATTTCATGTGGGCATTCTCAACTTCAGAAAAACAATGAAATTCTCATTTTCATTCCAATCATGCTCAATTCCAGAAAATAATAATTTTTGCAAAAATCATCACAATTTTCCTTTCAGTTTAATTACATTCAGATGCTGATAAAATTGATTTAAACCTTGCTACCATCTCAAAAACAATTTAAAACATGTTTTAAAATCAAAGGGCATTACCATAATTTACTTACCTCAAATTACACCAAACAGAACACTAATCCCAAGTGCTAGAGTGCAGAATAATCAAGTACCTAATCAAAATATTTCCAAAATTAATACCCATATAAAACGACATATTTAATCCTTTCCCAATTTAGCCGGCAATTAGCCCCCATAATACCCTATTTATTTATTTATTCATTTTTCTATCCGAAATCAAGCACAAAATCAATTGTGCATTTATATAAATTTGCATAATACACATAAAATTTTCCCATTTACTCACGGGCAGCACATGGAGAGCATGGCTTGGCAAATCACAACTCACACACACGGGATTTTTCTCTCCAAAACATCACAGCAGCCTAATTAAACTAATTCCTACATGAATTAAGCAAAATCATGGTCCCATTCACTGCCGAATCCCCTCCTATTCCCAGCAGAAAATTCGGACACACAGGGCAGTAATTACTTGGATAATTTTAGCAATTAAATGGGTGAAATTGGACTTAAATGAAGCTGTCCATCATACCAGAAAATTTCGGCAGCAGCACCGGGTCCGGCTGGGAAGGAAGCTGACGGGGAAAAGAAATGGAGGAACTCACGGCAACTACCAAATTCAAGAACCCACAACAAAATTAGAGTAACCCAAGCCAAATTAAGAGAGAAAAGATGAATTCCATGGTTGTTGCTTACCCAAAATGACCGAAAATTTCACCCACCCAGCAACAGGGAGCTCGCGGCAGAGGGAAGAGAGCAGACCTGGAAAATTCTGGGTTTAATAGGTGTTCTAGAACAAGAAAAGAAGGAGAAATCCCCAAGTTTTACCGGTGTTCCCGGCCAGAAATGGGTGGCAGTAGCTGGGGAGCTCGTCGGGTTGCAGAGGGTCGGGAGGAAGAGGAAGAGCAGGACACGCGTGGGAAGAAGAAAGAAAGAAACGAAAAAGAAAAAAAAAGGAAAGAAAAGAAAAATCAGTCAATCCTTATCCTATTTCCTTTCTTCTAAGTCCCTTAACTTTGAAAGTTTCTATTATTAAGGCCACTAATAATATTTCCTCACAAATTAGTCCCCAACTCAACTTTAATATTCTAGAAATTTTGGGATATTACAAAATCACTCTTAAAGAAATAATCAAACCCCCAAGATCACTCACAACTAGAACAAGAAGAGGATTACAAGTAAAATCTCTCAAAGATCAAAATCTCAAGTTAAAGCACAAGTTGGGAGGTAAAGATATTTAATATAATGCTCTTCAAACTCGTTCTAGATCTTCTACCAACCATATTTATAACTCTATGGTCGAAAATAGTCGTTACTAGCCGTTAGGGGTCATTAAATGCTTTGTAGTTGTGTAATTTTGAGTTACAGAATTGTTAGTACAGCCAGTTTCAAGTCTAGAGTTGGCTCTGTATAGCCGACTTAGAGTTCTATAACCAACTTTGTGGGTTTTCTGCACATTCTGTTTTTCTTGAAGGGCCAGCTGTAAGACATAGAGCCAGGTTTGCAAGTTTCTTGCCCATTCTGTTTACCTTGAGAGCCAACTACAAAATATAAAGCTGGCTTTGGAAATCCGACTTTAAAATATTAAAGAAATCTTCAAATAACTTGATCGTTATGCATTTAATGCGCCCTCACAATCGGCTGCAAGTCAGAGTTGGCTTTGCGTCTGTTTTCTGCGAGGCTAAACAACGAACTTGAAATTTTCACTTGTAGAGCTCGCTCTAAAAGCTGCAATCGTCCCTCTACATTTTTGCCTCTCACAACCGGCTGCAAGTTCTTTAAGCCAGCTCTCTACACATTTTTCAGTCTTTTTGATCATTTTTTGTGCAATCTTATTTTACTTACTTTATAGTCTTTTGACAATTTAACTACACACTTAAATGAACCAATTAGTCATGCAAATGCGTTTTGTAATCATCAAAATCATAGGTACAGTAAATGTTTGTCTGTAAAAAATGGGAAAGTGGTACAATTCTGTATGACATTACTTCGGTCAAGTTTGAAGTAATTTGGCGCCAATGGGCACCAAAAACAAATCGGTCAAATTTCTTGACCGAATGTTGATTGCGACTTTATTCGGTCAAGAATACTGACCAAATAAAAATTGAAAAGAATCTTCCATTATTTCAACATTAAATATTTGTAAATAAGATAAAATATTATTAATTCGGTTAAGAAAACTGACCGAACTAAAACTTTGAGCCGATTTGACATGAGGCAAGTCACAAGTTTGATTGTGCAAGAGTTTCGATCATGTTTCTTGATCGAAATAAAATTTTGCACAGTGATTTGAATTATAATGATTAGCTTTCTGTTAATTTTTTGGTTAATCTTTCTAAACGAAGAAGGGTTCTGTGATTGATTTGACCGAAGCTAGTGGTGGTTTAAGCACGCATGAGTATTTTGGTCAGTCCTCATGATCAAAATAAGTGTTGCTTTCTGCAAGACAACTTTTCTTGCATGTTTCAATCAAGCACACTGACCGAAACGAGCACGGGGAATCTGATTTGCAGGATTCCCCATTTCCTACTGTATTTTGGGCAATTTTGATACTCGAAATCTGCATACATTTTCAATTTTCCTGCAAAACCTCTACTCTTTCCTCATACCATCTCCTCTTAACTTTCTTACTAAGTCTTGGCTGGAACCAGACAGTAAAAGCTACAGCTGCTTGATTTCATCAACATTTACTAGTGTTTTAGGGCCTTTTGAGCTAAAGAAGGTACAATTAGCTATAATGTTCCCATTTTTTTTTTTTCTTTTCTTTTCTCTTGCCATTTTTGTTTTGTAAATTTTTGGACAATAATTCACTCTCAACTATAGTGCTCAATTATTATCATCAATTGTGTTCACCACCTTGTGTCCCAATCTGTTATTCTACCTTGTTAATTTGGGTTGAGGTTAGTTAAATTTTATGTTTTAATTTTTTTCATATAATTTATATTTAATCTAAAGATTTTAATGTGTGGTTAAATGTGCTTATTCTTCTTTTTATATCATAATTTTCATTTCCATTAGTATGGTTTTTACTTTTCTCAATTTATTAATTGATTTTGTTGTTATTTTTTTAGGGGCATCCGCATTTTCAAATTACTAATTCCTCCTTGATATCTCTAAATTACAAGTCTATTGAGAATTGCAAGTATGTTGTATATATTTTTTTCTTTATTTTTTTAGAAATTTAGTTAAGAAATAATTAAAAAAATTTGTGATATGTAATTGGTAAAGTATGATTAATTGATTGATTAGAGAGAACTATGATTAAATTGTTTAACTGATTGATAGATTATGATAGTGACTAATTGATTGAGAAATTATGATTATATTGATTAATTGATTGATTAATAAATTATAATTATAATATTTAATTCATAAGTACAAAAATTAATTAAATTGATTTAAAATTATAGTTAATTTTAATTTTTATAGTTGATTGATTTGTAAATCATAATTACATATTTAATTGTTAAGTAAACTATATGATTAATTAAATTAATTAATTAATTTATTAAAAAATTATGATTATATTATTTAATTGATTGATTGGTCAATTATAATTATATTCTTTAATTGATAAATAAATTTTAACTAATTAAATTGATTAATTGATTAAAAATTTATAATACATTGAGTAATTGATTAATTAGTAAATAATATTTGCATTATTTAATTGATAAGTAAACTATGATTAATTCAATCAATTAATTGATTATAAAATTATGATTATACTATTTAATTGATTGGTAAATTATGATAATATTAATTGATTGATTGATGAATTAAGATTATTGTAATTAATTGATTGATTACTAAATTATAATTATATGCTTTTATTGTTAAGTAAATTAACTATAATTAATTAAATTGTTTAATTGATTAAAAATTATAATTAATTACATGATTATAATTGATTAATTAGGAAATCATAATTACATAATTAATTGGTAAGTAAACTATGATTAATTAAATCAATTAATTGATTATAAGATTGTTATTATATTATTTAATTGATTGATAAATTATGATAATATTAATTGATTGATTGATAAATTATGATTATAGTGATTAATTGATTGATTACTAAATTATAATTATATGGTTTAATTGTTAAGTAAACTATAATTAATTAAATTGTTTAACTGATTAAAATTATAATTAATTAAATCAATTAATTAATTAATTATAAAATTATAATTATATTATTTAATTGATTGATAATTATTGATTATTTTAATTAATTGATTGATTTATAAATTATGATTATTAAAGTACATGTATTATTTTTGTGTGCGAAAATGAATTTTTTTTAAAGCTTGAATTTAAGGAAATATTTCACATGATGAAAGATTGACGTTCGATGTATTATCATTTAGATGATAATGAATGTTATACTAATGAATTTAAAATTAGTGTGGAGTCTTTCCTGGATTATGAATTTTTTCAGTCTAATCCAGAATTTTGTAGTAGAAATTGGATTAAGTGTCCGTGCACTAAATACATGAACCAAGAATGGCATCATCATGTTATTGTGCTATGTCATTGGACAAAAAGAGGTTTTATGAATGGGCATATAGTCTGGCTTGCACATGGAGAGCAACCAATGCATAAGCGACAACGTCATCAATAGGGGGAATCTTTTAGTGCAACTCCCTTTGTGATGGAAGAACTACGTAATGATCCAATTAGAGAGATGGTTATGGATGCAATGAGTGCACATGGTATAGAATATAATATGAATGAACAAGCCAATGAGGAGCCAATCTTTGAGGAGGCAATGAGAGATGCAAAGGAATTTTTTGATCTTTTGCAAGCTGCTAACACGCCACCTTATGATGGATGTGATGAGGGTGATATAGTACTCAAATGGATGTCTCATTTTATGAATGCAAAGACACTTTATAATATGAGTGTGGCTAACTGAGATTATGTGTTAAAGTGTAGTAGAAGATGGATTAAACCAGAGGATCATGATAGGATTCCAAAAGATTTTTATAGTGCTAAAAAGATGATGAGGTGCTTCAATTTAGGTTATAAGAAGTATAATATTTGTGTAAATAATTGCGTCTTATATTATGGAAAATATGAAAATAAAAACTACATCACATGTCTAGTATGTGGTGAACCTCATTATGAATAGGGACAACATGTGCAACAAAATCAATATATACCAAGGAAGTCATTGTGGTATCTCCCAATTATACCTAGACTGAAAAGGTTGTATATGTGTAGAAAAACTATTGAGCACATGACATGACCTTACTTGTTGTGGTAAATCTGAAAAAAATTGTGCATTTTGCTAGTGTTGAGGCATGGAAACACTTTTATTGCACCTACGCTAACTTTGCGTTAGATCCAAGGAATGCAAGGCTTGGTTTGTGCACAGATGGGTTCACTCCATTTGCATAGACAACAGCTCCATATTCATGTCCACCTGTATTTTTGACTATTTACAACCTACCTCTAGCAATGTGTATGAAACCGAAGTCCATCTTTCCTTCTCTAATAATACAAGGCCATCAGAGTCCAGTAAAAAACATTGATGTTATGCTACACTTACTAATTGATGAATTAAGGAAACTTTGGTATAATGGGGTCAAGACCTATGATAGCTTTAGGCATGAACATTTCATTATGAGAGTAGCACTGATGTGGACAATTAGTGACTTCCCTGGATATGGCATGTTATCTAGATAGAGCACATATGATAGAGTGTCAAATTCGTATTGTTAGGAAAATTCTAAGGCATTCCACCTTCCAAATAGTTAGAAGATATCATTTTTTGATTGTCACCGAAAGTTTTTACCACCCGATTATCCATTCAAGAGAAATAGGATTGATTTTAAAAAAGGCCATGTAGAGAATCTTTCTTCACTAGAGAGATTGTCAAGTCATGATACGTATCAAAAA